AAAAAAAAGTAATTAGATCATAGCGCATATTTCTTCGAATCATACCTTCGGTTTATGTTTTTCTCCTGGTGGTCGCAAGCCTGTATTAATGAAGACAACGTAGTGACCTCCATGAAAGTCACCTGAATGGACCAGTACGGCATACAGAGAATAAGTGTAATCTTCGTCGTTATCTTCGACAAATTCGTTTAAGCACAGTTTATCCGGGAAGGCAAACCTTAAACCCAATCTTAATATGAATTTTTTTTAAAAGAATAATCATACTGCCGATACGAACTTGTCATTGATCTTCACATTTGCGTCTAAAGTAGCGTCATACTGAAAGCGCATCAACTGCAAATGCAGAACCGGAGGCAATAAAACAAATTTCACTCCTTTCTCAGCCGGTTGCATTCCGTAAACACCTGCGTCATACTTGTTCTCCCCATCCAGCTGCTCAACTTGTACGTATTCACGGAAGGATTGCATGACTGGAATGAAGAGTGGAGGCTAACAAGCAAAAATTCTATCACAAAATTATTCGACAAGCAGTCCCTTAAGCGGTTGCTTGGAAACAGAAGCACTGATTCTTCTTTGATGTGGGTCATTCAAATATTAGTGCTCACTGAATGGAGCTTATTGTCTAATTTGCATGATATGATTTCGCGAGTGCCGGCACTGCGGAAAGCGGTGTCAGTAATTGTCGCCGTTAGTCGCGGTGCGTGAGGATTCAGGTAAACTGTGTCTGTCGATTTTTGTAGTTGAGAACTTGCTAGTCATAGTATGATTAATAATTTCAATTCAAGGCTTGTAGAATTCTGGATCGCAGCAAAAATTCTGGTGCATGGCTTACCAACCTAGTCGTTTTCATTTGAGAAAAAAAATAAAATGAGAGGGCTATTTATGAGCACAAGTTTGACTACTGCACTTCAACTCTTGGTCAAATTCTTGAAGTGTTTTCGTTGCAACTTCTCCTTTAGCAATGAAAACCTCACATTTACTTTGAGCTTCTTCTTTTTCGGAGGAAAAAAGTTATATCTTCTGGGTCATCGATAAAGACACCTTGGGGATCTTTTCTCCGTATATGAGATAGAGAACACTTTGTCAGCCATAAGATGAAATAAGTGTTAACAATGAAGAGCTATTCTACTTAATAAAAGAGGGAACGCAAACAAAAAACCCATAAAGTACGGGAAATTATGTGAACATAATTGGTACAAAATCAAAGGTATAAGCCTACGGAAGACTTGTCGCAACAATAAAGGAAATAACGCTAATGGCACATATTTCTGCTACAGTAGTCCGTGCCGTGTTTCCTGCGGTTGCTGCACAGTTTTTAAGCAGGAGCGCAACTACCTCTCTAATATGACTGCGAGCTTGTAGTTAATGTAGCTTGCATACAAGTGGCGCAGCACTCTGATTCATAA